TTTCTATGCCCACGTGTCTCCCTCTGCATCCCTTTTTGTATAGACAAAATGGGGATAATGGTGTAAAATTTTCAGAGCTTTACTGACAAAAAAGCACTACAGATTCTTGGTTAGGTGCTAAGAGGCAAGTAGCATATCAGTTGCAAGCCTACAGGAAAACTAAGTGCTGAAATAATCTCTGACAAGAGACATCTCCCCTTATGCTAGGAAAGAAGAAAAGTAATGACAAAGATCTTTGTTAACATGAAATTACAGTCATCCTGCAATCCAACCTGTCTCGGTAATGTGTTGCATTCAGCAACTTGCAGATTTAAAGTAAACAGAGAGGAGAAAGGCACATTCCAGCACAAAGCTGAGGCTCCGTAGAGCAAGAACTGAACACACACACTTGTTCTCTGCTTCTGCGAGCGGTGCATACCGTTCTGGGACAAGGACACGGAGGCATCTTAATGTTCAGGCAATTCTGAGCTTTCAGATGAAGCAGAAAAAAAAAAGAAGCTGCTGACACCACTGATCCTAATACACAGAAATAGCCCTGATTTCCTCAACATTAAAGCAATCCCCTTCAACCACACAATTCCATTTAGTGCTATTTTCTTCTTGTATTTCGTTACTATATGCAAAAACCTTCTGTTTAAATTCCTCACGTTACCAAGCCTCCCATATATCTCAACTGACCAAACTACCAAGATTTATCACTTGAGTAAGAAGTGCTGAACCCTTTAAGGTATACACGCATTTCACTTTTGAGGGGAAGGGGCTCAGACTCCTAACATATGGCACAAAACCACTATTTCTTTGAAACTAACCTTTCACAATTCAACAAAGTTATCTGCAATACGTATGCAGCCACATTCCCAAATGCATTTGCACCCTCAGAGAGCGGAGCCCACGTGGCATTGCAGCCGAACACACTGCCACATTTCCTGTCCTAACGAGAATCCACTGTCATCGAACAAAGTGTACTGGAAGAGCTATGCTAGGAATTTTTTTGTCAAGATTAATAAACACGAAATATCAGGTACATTATCATTTTCATAAAATTTCCAGAAACCATTAACGAAAGCAGTGCACTGAGATGAACTCAACCTTAAAAAAAATAAATAATCTGTATTCTCATAATTCAATTTCAGATCTAAACCATCATAGAAAGCCATACAAAAGTTTCTCCAAAGTATAATGAAAGAAATTATCATGCTTTTCAGGCACAGTGAGATTTAAAAAATGTAGGTTTTATTTTAACTGATAAAAGAACAAGCAGAGAAAAATAAGTGCCCGCTTTCCAGACTGTCAGACATAGTTACGACAGAAGCCCCATTAACAAAATTCCCTTGTGTATGACTCATTTTTACTTGTCACTTATAAAAAGAAATAAGAACAATTTAGATTTTATGTACCTTTAATTATTATCTTCCAAGAAAAAGCCATTGGCTGACAATAGCAAAACAAATTAATGTTTTATATTAATGTACAAAATGGAGCACTCCATAGTGAGGCTGTACATACCTAACATAAACCTAAAAATCAAGGACATGAAAGCAGAAGGTAACCAGCAGCACATATCTTATGCGTTTCTATAAAATGTAACAAAAGGTTCAAAAAAGGACTTTAAAAATCAGTTTAATTTGGTAACATAAAGAATACAGTATTTTGGTATCAATTATGTGACAAAATGACAAAGGTTTTGTAGGTACTTAATACATTGATGTTCCTTATTGTGTTACCATTTTATTTTATTTTTACAGATTCCTAAGGCTGTTTTTAAGCCTAGAATAATACTGCTGTGTATAGAATAAGTTATAACATCCCTAAAATTCGCTGTAAATTATAGATATGCACTTTCAACATTACTGAATTTTACCATAGTTATTATCTGGCAGAATAGCAAGAGCAGAAGCTTACCCTACACATATGATGAGCTAGATAGGAGTTATTTGCAGTACCAGTAAATGAACTCTAACTGCCTCAGTTCCCTCCTCTTAGTTCTTACTCCATTGCAAACATTACAAGGGCTAAGTGACTCCAGACATCTTCAGGGGAATTTCCCACTTACCTGGGTGGTCAAACTATTCCTAGCATTAGTTCAAAGGAATTGAGGTAAGTATCCTGATCATTTTAAATTCAGTATTAGTTACTATTAAAGCATTTTAAAATATAAGACATATTAGTTTACAGATGAGCACAAATATGCAAGTTCATTTGTTTTACACCAAGACATCCTGTATCTACAGCACGATCTTTCACACAGTAAACCAAAAACTCACTTAAAAAACGTGCTCTGTAAGTAATGCTTATACTCTCTAAATGCCTTACAAGGAAGATAAAATTTACATGGAATCAATATAATCAACTTAATTTCACTAAGGGAGTAAACTTTGCTTTCCATACTAAATAAACATAGTATAAAAGTATATTTATATATGTATTTATATTTTTATATTTATATATAGTATAAAAATTTCCTAAATAGAAACTGCACAAAAAATACATACTGAAGTATTAGAAATTGATTTTGATTTCATTTAGCTACTTGAATACTTAGATTTATAAGCAAAACCATATGCCTCAAATAATCATACTATTAAGTACGTGAATACGGATGAACAACAATATTTCAAGCATGACATAGGCTTCTTGCAATTATGATTACCTTACAAGAGAAGCAACTAATAATACATGCAATATTTGCTAATAAACTTCACTTTTATTTTTAGAAACATATTTTAGCTAAAATCCCACAAATCTGTACAGTTTCACGAAACTAGTTTTCAACCACTTTTTCCTTCTTATAACCACTAACTAAAAAAAAAATCTTCTGATTTGATTCTACTATGTTTTCACACTCTTACTTTTCCAGTCCAAAGAACTGAAAGAGATGCTGTTGTTGCCACACAGAGCTAACATTTATGTTGCAGGAAAGCACAGATTTACCAAAGTATGTAATAAGGACTGCCAAGGTATGGAAAAGTGGAAGGCAGAGAGGCATTGTTAAAATTAACACATTTGGTACAGCACAGAAAATCAGAAAGCAAAACAACACAAAAGAAATGTAAATAAGAAAAATGGTTGTCCAGGTCAATGAGTACTCTGATCCAATGTACTTAGTTCGTGATCAGGATGATAAAATAAGCATAGGAAACAGTGATGAAAAAAAAACCCTATAGTTTATAGTTTGAGAGGCTATAAAAAGTAGTAACACAGAGCAGCATTTCTCAACTGTTTGGCCACGTTCCTAGGGAGCTCACAAGGTATGGGAAGTATTAGTACAGCCTAAAACAGAAACTCTTTCTCCGTGGGCTACCCCGTAAAAACAAGGAGTGACACATGCCATAGGACATCTTTGGTACCTTACATCACCTGGCAGGAAGGTGTCATGGCCTCGTGCCTCTGGGAATTAGAGGGAAGAAGTCCCCAGCCCCAGTGCAGAGCTGTCTGGCAGGCCTCAAACTAATCACTGACTGAACACAAATTAAATCTCCTTTTTGCTGTTCCTGCTACACTTCTGGAAAGACAAACAGGTCAATACACATTTATTATTTATGCACCTGAAGTTTATCCTAAATGCAAGGAAGTTGCAGAAAGATTCGCTTCAGGACGAAGGACTGCATTTCTCAAAGAGGATAGTTAAGGAATTAGTTGAAACATGGCAATAGTAACACAAGTCTACTAACCCACAGTCATTACAAAACAAGGAATGTCTGATGAACTTTGGCACTATTGCCTAAGAATGCAACAATATAAACCTCCATGCAGCAGCTCCTGCCCTTTCTAACCCTGTGCCAGGAGCACTCGCTGCACACCTGTACCGCCCCAAAACACAACAAGAACTACCCACCTTCCCATCCAAAATACAAAACAGACACGCACATGCACACCCCAAATCTCCCTGCAGTCTTCTTGGTGTCCTCCTCAAACGTCATGGAATTAATCTAGACATGTTGGAAAGCAAATTCACTTGAAGTGAATGACTACACTCAAGCTGTAGGATCTTGCAGACCCAGCAGGAACAGGGCCTGGGATTTCTCAGCGTGTGGTCATCTCTAAACATAGTGTACGACCTACGTACCCCTTTAGAATAGCACGTGTGCTTGGGTTTGATTTGAAAATTGATCTGGGTGGAATAATCAGTTGCTTTTGTTTGCTTGTTTGTTGGTTTATTTTGTTTTAGACACCCATATGTGAAATAGTAAGTGACCGTTTTGGATCCACAGGAAAGAGCTGGCCCGTACTGCGCTAGGAGATGCCACAACCAAAGCCTGACTCATTCACTGATCCACGGCACAAAAAGGAAAAGCTCAGATGTGTGTAGTCTCAACAAACAAAGAGGAGGAAATACAGGTGGCTATGAACAGTTGGTATTTTTTAATAAGGTACCAAAACATAATGTGAATCGATTGTAAGTATACATACGCACATTGCTCATTTGCATAGTGAGCAATGACTTTGGTTAAGTATTTGATTGTACTTTTTTACTGTGTGATTGTACTTTTTACTGACTTCTCATTCACTTGATGGATTTTGAAGATCATTTGCTTACAACAATAATATGAAAATCTGGAAATACTAAATATCACAGTAGAAAAATCTCATACATCTCTCATATAACAGAAAACTCCTAAGAAATATAATCATGTTGCAACTGAATAATAATCTTAATCTCAATAATCTTAAACTGCCACAGTTTTACGATCAGTTTGAGATTACTGTAGTATTTTTAGAAGAAATTGACGGATCAGAAAATATGTAAGCATACATGAGTCCTTCTACCATCCCACTGACTAACGTGACAACTTACAGTAAAAATTAAGGGATTCAAAATAAGGGTTATAGCAGGTTATATAGGTTATATGTACTCAGTAAAGATAGCCTTCCCCAATGTGCATGCTTTTTCAAAACACATTTCTTAGATAATTTCAGTAAAGTCAGTGGGGTGATTAGAAGATGTAAAAGTTGTTAGAACAAAGCCTCGATACCAATTCACATGGAAAACAGATTCTTACTGTAGTTCTGTGGAACAAGTTCTGGGTTCTTCGGTGTTTTGAGTTTAAAGGACACATCTCCAATAGTGACAGCATCACCTAAAAAATAAAAGAGAGAGAGGGAAAAGCCTTTTAGTTCCTAGAAACTTGCAAAGGGTAAAATATGTTTATATTAAGTTTACAACATAAACCTGCTATTTTAAGGCTGATTATGTATTCACAGAGCAGCCTCCAAAGTGTTTGAGAACTATTAGTTTGAGAACTAATTAGGCTCTGCTGTCTCTTGATAGATCAGGTACAGGCAGAATTTACATTCAATTAATGTTCCTCAGCTTTTCCCTTTAATTGTTATAACCATAACTTACTTTGTTGGGAGCTATGGAAGTCAAACTCGCCATAGAACCCTCTTCCAGATGCCATTGCTGACTTCTTTAAATTAAATCCTTGTCTGGCTGCAGAAATAGCACTGAGAAAAACTTCTAGGGATGATAATTTTCTTGAGTATTCAGGCAGCCTGAAACGGTGTCTCTTGGAGGTACAAAACAATATATTCATACCAATGGGCCCTTCCTGCACTCCCTGACTACGCAGCTGTAGAATTTGGCACCTTTTCAAGGTCTGAGAGGTCTCGAGCATGTCTTGCTCTGGATTTCACTAGCACTAAAGCACCTGCCATTTTGTTTACTGGCCACTTACTAGGACCTGCCTGTCTTATCTGTCTTTCTGCACTGGCAGGCTCCAATTCAATCGCAAGGCATGCCCTGTGTACTTTCTCATGGAAATCAGAATTGAAATCTAGTTTGCAGCCAGGAAATGGGCGAGCACCAAGAAGGCAGTGGTCACACAGAAAAACATCACTACAGCCAAAACCCACGAGGCCAAGAAAATGAGCTGCAGAGTGGTAACAAACTCAAAGTTTTCTTTTTTTTTCAAGACCATCTGGGCCATGCAAACAAGTTCTGAAGCATTAAGACTAAGATGACTCCAGAAGAAATGCTGTTTTTGCCATTCCTGTTATTGGAGATAACGCCACCTTCACTGCCTAACAGGCGCTGCAGTGAGGATGGAGGGGATTACAGTGACTGTGCTCTGGGTGCAGTTTTGCCACAGCACTCTGATTACACCACCTTTCCGTGAACTGAGGCCAAGTTTTAGAACTGTTTATGCTTGTGTTTTTCTGAGAAACGAGACGTAGGAAAGACGTAGCCTGTGAACAAGATCCAACTCCACAAATCCTTTTGTTATTTTGTCCGGCAGCATCCAAGAGGAGGCAGCTTCCAGTTGCCTGGGTCCAGCACTACCTAAGGAGTCGATGAGTTCAGAAGGCTAATGCTGGAAACAGAAAGGGTGATACTGAAGAGGAAGCTTGTCCAAACCAACAGAGGCAACCAAAACTGCTGCCATGCATACGGCTGCTCTCCTTTCAATCACCAGTGACTACGCTTGTGCACTCCAATGCAGTTCTTTACTGGTATACCCAGGTGTAACCACAGATCTCACAGGACTGAGAATTCAGACTCTGATGCTATCCACACCACCCATAGGAAACGCTACATGTGTAGGACTAGGTTCATACAGCCAGCGAGGCATCACCTACAGCAACAAACAGGAAGCCATGAAGAAAGCACTGCAGGTGACTTACTCCCAAATTTAAGTGCTCAACCATGCCCCTGAGACTGGTTCCTCAGCCAGACATATATGCCTGCAATTGGGTTTTTATGTAGCCCCCCAAGCCCAAATACTTAGCCCACCATTTTTTTTTCTATAAAATATTGACAGCAGATGGCCAGCTGGTGGTTGTTCCCACATTTTATGCAATGATCCAGTGCTCAAATGGCTTTCCAGAAAGTGAGACACAACAGCAATGCTGCCATATAAACGGCAGCCAAGGGTCCATCCCTGGCCCTAAGCCCAAGTGGCACCAAGCAGTCCTCCCCCTCTCCCTGCCTGGAGCAGGTTCTGTGAACTCTTACATATTTTAAATTAAATTAAATTTAACCCAGAGAGAAAACACATCCACCACAGGTATTAAGAGACACTGTAGGCTTTGACACTCCCAGGGTTTTGCCCACTTCTCTAAGTTTTAAACCAAGAAATACTATTTTACAGCACAGACATTGCCTCCCATTCCCTTTCTTCTGCTGCAGCTCCATCCATTCCTTCGCACTGGGAAACAGCTGAAGGGTTTACCAAAATGCCTCCGAGTTGAGGAAAGCATCCTAGAGGCCCACTGCTTCCTGCAAAAATTGACACCTCTCTCATTAGCTCAGCTCGGAAGAATTTTAACATTCTAAAAAGAGCAGGTTGCCTGAGATATCCTCAGGAAATTAGTGCCAGTTTATTTTCTCACCATTCCCCAGCCAACATGCAAGGAGACATGAGTGTATGACTAATTAGCTTCTAGCTTGAATCACCTCAGCTCCAACTGTAAATACTCTTTCATGCATACACAGCCTTCCAAAACACAGGCGGGACAAGATGCCAGATGCCAAAACAACAAGGTGTCAGACTGCTCTAATACTCTGCAATGATGATATCGTCTACACAAGAGAGTTTTAATCACCTATTTTATTGGCACAGCCCTGAAAAGCCTTAGCTGCTTTCCTCTACTTAAAAAAAAAATAATAAAAATTAATTAGGTCGAGGTGAAAAATGGAGAATTCATCTCTTCTGGTGGTATTTATGTCAGACTATAAGATGCTAATCCCTGGCCAACACATCTTAGCGTTTCCAGAAATTCAGCAAGTATTCCAGCCATCAGTGGACCCTAGGTATTTTAGTGAAAATTGGGGTGGGAGGGAACTACAGGAAAGAGGTGGAGAGAGCTAAGCACACCAAATCCCTACCACAAAGTGCATTTGGCTTCTGACGGTTTTGTTGCTGGCTGGAGACAAACGTTGCCTCAAACTTGCATCTGTCCACAAAGCAAAAATACTAACAGTGTTTAAGAGAACTTGAAGCAATAACGAACCAAGACAGCAGAGTCTCTCTTCTTAGCTAAATGAGCACAGGGGGGATTAGCCCACTAATCTTATCACACGCTTCCACCTGGGCTAGATTTTCTTGTCTCATTTGTTTCTTCTGTACTTATTTTGAAATCTCACGTTTGGTTATTCCATTTCCACCGCGTTTCTGAACTCTTTGAGCAGAGATATCACCCCAGATAGGCTCTTCCCAATGTTTCACCAGCTGGCAAGGAACAGACAACAGCCTGCCTGGTAGAGCTGTGGTGTCAAAATCAGCAAAATTCACGATTTGGGAACGTGTATCCCAAGCGATTCGTCTCTGCTGCAAATTATGGTACACCCTGCAAATACTCCAGCCCAGCTCACAAGCTCCTGCTGCACTGTTGTGGACAAAAGCTGTAGAGGTGAAGAGGTGACAATGTGCCCTGGTTTCTCATCTCCCACGCAGAAAATAGTAATCTTGGTCATCACGGTCTTTGGGGAAAACAGTGGGATACAAGCACTGCCTGATGTACAAAGAGCCACGCCTGCTAAAAAAAAAAGCAAAAATAAGCCAGAATCTAAAGGTAAGTGGGACATCCCATACAGCAGGTGGTCAGCATAAAGACACAGCAGGTAGTTTAAGAGCAATATGGGTCAGCAATTGGGGGCACATAAATACAATGACCCAGTAACAGGACCTTGAGGAGACTCTCTGAATCAAGGAGATAGGAAAACAGCCTCAATACATGCAGTGTCCTCTTTTTACTACGTGATAGGACATCTGCATGAAATAAGGATCAACAGGGGTATATGCAGCTACCCAGCAAGCACAATGCACTGAATTTGCTGTTCTCTCTTCTTCAGAGCTGCGCTTCAGGTAAGTAACAATACGAATACACACATCTGCTTTTTCCCCATTAAAAAACAAGTGTTCTTTAGGTGAATTTGGGCTTATTTCTTCCCCTCGGTCCACTGAAAGGGAAGGGCACTAGCCCTTGCTCCAAGCCCCCGCGGCACAGAGGTGACAGATGGAGGCTGGCCGAGCCCTTTGGCAGAGCATCGCTGCACAGACACCCTGGGCTCCTTCTCCAGCATCTCCCACAAACAGCTCTGATACACAACAGGAGGACTCGATGGACCTCTCTTCTCACCCACCACAGATGCTTTTATGTGACCACCCACCTGCGTGCAGCCAGCAAAAGCATATTAAAATTGGGAAGGTGCTAAGGCTCACTAACATTCATTTCTATGGGACTAGATCACACTTACTAGAGAGAAATTCAATCTCTAAATTACATACAACTGTGTATTTTCAGGTCTTAATGTCACTATAATATGAAGAAAAAGAAGAAAAAAACACAGCTTTCAGCTGGTATTTATCCAGCACATGTGCATAAGAGCACAGAAAAGGTTGTCTGCCCTCATCTTTGAGAAGTCAACTTTTTTTAAGAAACAGAAACACTTTCAAATCATATTTTTACTCAACCTTTCTGAATACTTTCTTCAGGAAGCATAGCAGCCATGTCTACTCAACTTATTTCTCTCATTTCATGCTGGCTCTTGCTGGGCATCTTCACGGCTGCAAACGTCGTACCCAGTCACTGGGTAACATCAAAACTAATCCTGCATCTTGTGTGGGTCCTGGCAGCCTCTGAAACACATTGGTGTCACAGACAGAAACACACTCCCTGCACTCACCAGATTTGCTCCTGCACTCTTGTCACATACAGATGAGGTAGAGCTTACTTGCTGCTGCTGTGACACCGCAGGCTGACAGCACTGAAATAGCTGGGAGTCTACACAGCAAAGCCCATCTCCAACTTAAGCAAAAAAAAAAAAAAACAACTCATTTAAGTTGCTTTTTTTTTTTCCTGAACAAAATAATTGGTTTCTCCTTTATTTCTAAGAAAACAAAATAATGACTTCAAACATAACATTTGAACATTACTCACTTTTTACCCAACATTTTTGCTAGACTTCCTAATTTTCTAACTTTTTGGTTTTTCAATTACCTACGTTAGCCTAGTGGTCCTCTTTACTGAAGTAAGTCCAAAGTGTCACTAAAACAAAATCTTTGTGCTTACTCTAGGAAGCGATCCTTTTCCTCCATTTCTGTGTATTTTTTGAGGATCAACAACGTGAATGTGGAAACTTCTCTGACATCTAGCCCTGACAGAAGCTTACAATCATTTCTTAGCCTAGAGCTATTTCTCATTTGGGCCACCAGCATAATCTAAAGGCAGGGACACTGACAGTGTGCTCAGTTGCACAAGTTTTAAGATATGAAATGAAAGTTTTAAATATGTTTAATGCAATGAGGATCTCACGAATGCTTGATATGCACATTTCAGAGTATGTCCTAGCAGTATGCTTGCCATGTCAAAGAAATGCTAAACTGCCCATTTCATCAGTTACCAAAAAAATCTTATAAATGCTGGTTGGCAGGGACTCTGAAGGTCATCTTCTCCAGCTTCCTGCTCAACACCA